CGGTAGCAAAGGAAAAAAACACCAAAGGTAAAACCAACAACCAAAAAACAACAGAGAGGAATCCCCATGTCCGTGCTGTCTTGACCCATGGAAAAAGCAAACAGCACACTAATAAAAGTTGCTCTGTTAACAGTGGCTGGATGTAATTAGGAAAGGCATTCAGCTTCTGTTTTCGGCACGTAATTTTTAATTGATTTTGCTGAAAGAAACCTTAGTGCTGTTTCAGTTAACAGGAGTCCTTCCAGCAAAACTGGTCTCTGTCAAAGGCTTATGTAAAGCTTCCTTCAAGTGTCACAGGCTCATTGTTTGAACTGGCAGGGAATTAACCTGTTGCAAAAAACCCATTCCCTGTAAAAGCCAAGTCATGAGACACACAGCTGCARACCTGACAGGCCTCCTTTGCGAAGGAAGAGGGATGATTTCAGAGACCTGGCCAGCATCCAGAAATCTTTCCAGATCACAGAGGAAAAAGATTTTCCCTGTCACAAGGAGTACCSAGGTAACACACAGAGGAGAAAACACTTCCTGTTGGTATGTTTATCTCATTTTCCCCAAGAGCTGGAGTTCAGCCCCAAGCCCAGACCACGATTCCATCTGGATAATTGGATAATTACCTTTTGCCTTCCAAAGAGACCTCGCATCCTATTAAACACCATCGAGTCACAGAACCTACTTARTGAYGGCTGGTGCCCCAYCAGAGYACGGGGACTCTGTGCACCCCACCCYACATCCAGAGGYGTGATGGGGCACCAGCAGACCCCCAACACCTCCCGATGGGTTGTCTGCATTAGAAACATCAATMCAGGCACAGAGGCAGTGGGACGAGCTGACAACACCAGCCCTCAGGATGCCAACAAGGTTCTTCAGCCAACCAAYAACCAGTCCTTCTCCCCAGCCTTTTAGCTCCTCTGGTCAGCTACAAGACCTCCATGGTGCACTACGTACAGCCTTAATCACTAAGACCTCTCCTCCAAAAAAATCTCCCACAACTACCAGATTTAAGGAAATATTTGTATTTGCCCCTCAGTATACAACTAGGTGACTTTGGCATGTGGATCCATCCACTCCCAAAGCTGCACATCAGCCTATGCCAAGGTCTGAATTTGAGGGCAGCAAGGCAGACCAGACATTGTCACAGTAACTACATAGAAGGAAATGTCCTGCTTAAAAAATAAACCCTTACAATCATCCACTCTCTCTCTGCTTTTTAGCAGACTGTGAGTGGACCAGYTCACTTGCACTGAGTAAGCCACTGTACAACCTAATTCCGCTCAGATAMACTGCTTTGTTTTGTTTCTGGCATGCACAGAACCCAAAATATGCTTCCCCTGCCCTGGGAACCACTGAACTGGAAAGTGAAAGTCGGGAAGAGCTGCCTCAAGAAAAATAGCACACACAGGCATTAGATAAAATGACAAACCAGCCTGCCTATCTGCAACAGAACCCAGCACACTAATTTCCTTTAGAAATAAGCTTAGAGAAAGCAGCAGTGCACAAATATTGCACTGTAAGCGAAGATTTTATTTGCAATAACCATGATTATTTTCCTAACATTTTCCTGGCAACATCYAGCATGAGCTGATCCCAAATATGACCTTGTCCAACTCCTCTGTTGTTAGGGATGCACAATATACTGTGATGTGACACAYAAAAAGAACATTTTCATGTCTGGATGCATTTCCCTGTATGATGGGATAAGCAATCCCACTGTACTTGCTAATTTTTAGGTTTTTTTTCAGGAAGCAACTATAAATAGGTGCTGCTAAGTTGACAGCTGAACCTCAGCTCAAGGCAAGCCAGAGATCTTCCCTTGATAAGGCCAGAAAGCCATCTCTCTTTTGCAGTGCTGCAAGTGAAGAGAAAAAAAATAAAGATTTTTGAAACTGAAAGCTCTCTTTGAAAGAATCCAAAATACATGCAATGTATGCTTACGGGACTCCTACTCTGGCCATGGCTTAGTAACAAAAAAAAAAAAA